GATATTTGGAAAACAGCGAAATTAAAAAATCTGGTGCTCGGAAGACATTTTCCCACCTTGTTCTTCTCCTTTCCCCTTTACGCTCGGAAAAAAAATAAAAGCAAAGAAAAAGTAACAAGAAAAATTAGAAAATAAATAAATCAACAGATAAATGCTACAAAAAAAAAAAAAAAAAAAAGGAAAAGAAAAACATGAGAACTTAACAACAGCAAATTGCACGAAAAACTGCAAAGAAATAAATGAAAAATAGATGAGGGAAATGAGATTGAATGATGAATAAGACGAAGAAAAAAAGGAAGGTATAAATGGCAATGGTTAAATACCGACAGCAAACCTTATTCGTTAACTGAAATACGACAAGTGCAGTACCAGCAGCAGCAACAGCAGCAACAGCATTAACAAGCAGTGCAGAAGCAACATCCTCAGCTGCAGCAACATCAGCAGTGTCAAATCTCAGGTGCTCACGTCACCGAGTCGCTGTCCATGTCTCTCTGTGCCTCTTGTCTTTCTGGTGTCTCTAAGTTCAGTACTGCTATTTGCCTATGTTTTTCTGAATAATCAAACACTACTGACCCCGCCCGGTTTCTTATAATAAAGCGCTGCAAACAACTGCACAGTGCGCAACTGGTAACCGTCAGCGAAAGAAACTTTTGGCGACAGTATACCCTCATCCAAAGCAAACTCGTAGCGCCACTGTAAGTACCCGTCGTTGTGTTGTGCGCCTAACACAGCTGTCGATCCACTGGATTTTATAGGCTGGCAGTAGTTGTCCGATGATGGCGGTGGTAATATGACGAACGCAAACAAATAATATCGTCATTATGGTCACATCCAACACCTACGACAAAACGGTTCAAGTCTAGTTATGACATAACTAAGAAAAAGACGATGACTTATATTTATAATTATGACCGCAACAATAATTACTACTATTAATTCCAACGACTTTAAACATGTAGTAGCTATCTTCATCTTTGACGTCATCGGAATTTTTCAGATTATTTAGATACAAAGAAAGACAAGGGAGGCAATTCAAAACTATCATTAAAGTTTTTTTGGCCAACTTTTTACGAATTCCACCGCTGGGAAGTGTTGCTCACTGAAGCATCCAGTAGCTAGCTGGTTAACTAATTTAATAACTAATTTCTATTGTTGCTGCAGAACTGCTATGCCGAATTGAATGCTATGCAGTTATGATGGTAATGTTTGGTGATCTCAAAATATTCATAACGCTTAAGCATAGAAAACAAAAGTATAATACAAAGAACGTATTATCTTTTCATGTGTTGATCTTTTTGATGTGTTGGTACAAATCCTGGCATACAATATTTTTCTGTTTTACCAATCCGATATAACATTTTAAAGGTGTTTACTTTTGTTAAAGCAGAGCTAGCAAATGACATAGATGGTGCAGAAAAACAGCTTGCTTTACTTTCTTTCATTCTTTTTTTTTTTTACCTTTCTTTTTTTTCAGTTATATTCTGCACATTTAACGTTAACAGCACTTAAACATATGCAAAGAAAAGAAAAACCAACTGTAAACAGCAGCAGTCACAACTAAAGCAAATTGGTAACCAAAAGTGGTGCTAAGATCAGATAAGTGGAGCGGGCGGAGGCGAAGAGGGCAGAGGAGGAGGGGGAGGAGGG